CAGGGGAGAGCGGCTTCCCTGCAGGTGCACCGAAAGGCACACAGGGGTTAGAGCCTAGAGCCTAGAGCCTAGAACCTAGAACGGTGCCTGATGCACAGAGGGGCTTAGGCCACTGTTGACTCCATGAGATGAGTTCCACTTGTGGGGGGCCCTCCTGGAGCTGAGGACGGAGGGGAGATGGTAAGGAAGTGTCAGGAGGCCGCCCCAGCCATCCAGGTGACAGGGGTGGTGATCGGGCCAGGGAGGGACCGAGAGCCGCGAGGAGGAGGGCTCCACTTTGGAGACATTTGAAAGGAAGAGCTGCCGGGCTCTCTGAAGCCCAGCCTCTGCCCTGTGTGAGGGGCCGTGGACGGAGGAGGCAGGGCCGGGTGCCCGGGAGCCCTGGCACCGTGGTTCCCCGGCACTGCACCAGACCCCACCGGGGAGCTCTTTAAAATTTGAATGCCCAACAAATAAAAATAAAAAATACATACAAACAAAAGAAAAACATAGAGAAAAAAGAAAAAAAAAGAGAGAGAAAATAAAATTCAGATTTCCATGCCATGCCCAGATGGTGGGGGTGGCCTGGACTCCGTGTTTTGACACCTAAAGAGAGAGGCACGATTTGTCACTTTTCCCTGGAGAGCGACACTTACAAGGTTACGGGGCTAGCCTAACGCCGTCATCCCGGTCAGTTCTGGTGCCGGAATTCGAACTCAAGTTCTCTAGCTCCAAAGACCATGCCTGGCGAGTCTTCTCCTCCCTCCCCCTTCGCACGGGGGAGTCTGAGCCTGGACGCTGACTGGCCCCTCCTCCGAGGGTGACTGGGGGCGGGGCTGAGTGACCGCCACTGGGAGCGTTAAACCACAGTGAACAGGGGCGCAGCCGCTCACGTCTGAGGCTCACGGGCCGCCCGGGCTGGTTTGAACACGCTCCGCAAGTGACGTGCCCAAGGTCACGTAGCAGGCGAGCCGGAGCCAGGACACAAAGCCCACGTCTGCCTTGGCCTCCGATGCCGGCAGCAGCCGCCCCGCCGGCCTGAGCGGCCACATCACAGGCCCAGTGTTTGCACAACAGAAACAGCCAGGAGCACCCGGGGGCGCTCCCTGCTCGCAGCCGTGTTTAGCTTGGCGCCCGGGGCATTGCAAACATCTTCCCTGAAACGCGTTGCCAACATGTACAAATTATACCCACATCCGGGCTTTTGGATTTTCTTGAAAACAGAGCAGAGCGGCCAAGACCGGGCTCACTTTTCTGCCGGCCACGGTGGGGTGGCTGGTGCCCCGGACCCGCCACC